GGACCCAGGTCCTCAGCAAGGTCAGTCCCGGCTCTTAACTGCTGCGTCATCCCTCCACCACCAAGAAACTTACATTCGAACAATAACTGGCTGAGATTAGAGAGCATTTAGTGACCTTGAACTGTGAACTGTCTTGTAGGCAGAAAGGCTAGAGGAAAGCGGATACAGAGAGCCAAGGTGTTGAGCCTGTGGCTTCGGGTTTTGTTACACCCTGTTCTAGCAGCCACCTATAAAGGGGCGAGCGAGGCTTTCTATCAGCCTTCAGCTGGTCCCTGGTCTCGTAACCCCGGGTTCTCTCTGTATAGCAGTCACCAGAGATCCTGCAGGCCATGCCGGTAAATGCTGGGCCATCCGGGAGCTGATCAGCAGTAGCCGTTCTTCTGGGCTGCAATGAGTGAGTTTATTAGGTGTGGGACCAGCAAAAAAGAACAGAGAGTCGCAGTCAGACGGCAAAGAAGCATCAAAGCAGGAGTACATACCTCTACAGGCACAAAAGAAAATGTTTCAAAACGAAAAAGAATTATTAAAAATACGTCATTTGTTTTGACTTCATGTGTATGGGTGTTTGCCCACACGTGTTTCTGTGCGGAAGCGCTCAGTGCCTGCGGAGGCCCGAAGAGAGCATCTGTTTCCCAGAACGGGAGGTGCAGATGGTTCTGAGGACCAAATCCGGGTCCTCTGGGAGAGCAGCCAGTGCTCCTAACCACTGCGCTGTCTCCGGCCGCTAAAATGGCTTGCTTTTTAGCTGTGCTCAAGGACCCTGCTAGCTTTTTGTTTTTGTTTGTTTCTTTGTTTTGTTTTTTAGTATTTTGTTTGTTTGTTTTTTGGTTTTGGTTTGCTGAGACAGGGTTTCTCTGTGTAGCCCTCGCTGTCCTGGACTCTCTTTGCAGACCAGGCTGTCCTTGAACCTATAGCGATCCTCCTGCCTCTGCCTCCAGTGTGCTGGGTCTAAAGGTTGCGTCACCACCTGGCTCCCTTGGCTGGCTTTTGATCCTGCCTGTGGCCCACCATGGGAGGCTGTTACCCAGGATCAGGACAGATCTTCCCTCTTCACTTAGACCCGTAGGGGACGCCCTGACAGGCACGTCCAGGAGTGTGTCTCCTAGGCGATGCCACGACCAGTCAGGTTGACAGGGTCAACCCTCACAGTGTTCTGCACGGTCTCTGCCACCCAGGAAGCATTCACTCCCACTACGTTTAGGCATCCTACCACAGTCCCCTGCTCCAGAGGCACTGGGGTCACTGGGGGCTCCTCAAAGACAGTGGCACTGTCCAGCCAGGCCTTAGGCCTTGGGTGACGTGAGTGCGGCCCAGGCTGTCTGAGGCGCACAGCCTGTACATCGTTACAGAGGACAAGCGCCTCCAATGTTTGCTTCTTCCTTGAAAGTCCCTTCTGCATCGTGTAAAGAAGCTTCTGCAACCTCAGAAGTGTTCCACGTGGTTGGGGAGATGGTTCTGTAGTAGGAGCACTTGCTGTGTAAGTGTGAGGACCTGAGTTCAAATCCTAGGACCCACATTAAAGGTCAGGCACGGTTGTATGTGCCTGTAACCCCAGCACTGGGGAACAGAGACAGGGAACACACACATACACCACCTCTCTCTCTGTCTCTGTGTCTCTCTGTCTCTGTCTCTGTCTCTCTCTCTCTCTCTCACACACACAGTCCATTGTTGAATGGAGATCAGGGTGACTCTGCACCGTTGTCAACTAGCTGTGCAGATGGCAGTTGTTCTAGCAACAAGCACAATGACCCTAAAGTGCAAGTACATTCACACTGGAAAATTTAGTGCCAAACAAGGAGCCCTCCAGCTCCTATGTGCTTATCTTATTTTATTTTATTTCCTAATTTATTTGGTTCTTTGAGAAAGTCTCTCAGCAAGTAGCCTTGGCTCCCCTGGAGCTCACTTTGTAGCCCAGGCTGGCTTTAAAATGACAGAGACCCGCCTGCCTCTGCCTCCTGAATGCTGGGATTAGAGTTGTGTGCCATCACTGCCTGGCTTGAAAAATTAAACCTTCAAAAACTGAAGTAAACATTTCAATTCTGAAGTAATCACAGACCCTTAGTATGTGGCAAAGATCATATGAACAGGGGCTCATGAACTCCCTGGGTATCCTGTTCTACTTTGTGGTACTGAGCCTCAGTGGCCTGCTGAGGTTGGGGGGGCGGTCCCCAGCTTCTTCCTTGATCCAGAGCCCGATGGAGACACAATCCTCAAGGGGAAAATCTCACTGCGGAGCAGAGGAAGGGTGGAAGGTGTGAGCCCCAGGGGCTGTCACAGACCGGAAGGGCACAGAGGCCAGGAGGTGTGTGTGTCGTGTGTCAGGGGAAGCCCTCCTTCTTGCACCGCAGTTGCAGTTGGGATCTCTCTGTGGTGACGGTTGTGTCATTTCCCCTCTCAGCTCAGCTCCAGCTCTGCACCGTGGCCACCATGCACATGCGCGCTGGCTTGGCTCTCACTCCCACACAGCAGCCCAGGGCCCCTCACAGCTGCCCCACAGACAGAGCCAGCGTCCACCCACCCAGTGCAAGCCAAGCAAGGTCTGGGATGAGAGGAGAGGAAAGGAAGGGTATAGTTGTTAGGGGACTGTCCTCGGCTCTGAATAAGGGTTTCTTGTCTCTGGGCTTGTTTTCTGAGTCACTGTCCTCCCAGGACAAAGCTCAGGTCACCCACCAAGCTCAGGGTCACGGGGCCTGCCAGCATTCACTTCACTCTTCCAGCTGGCCAACGAGGGACCCAGTGGCTAATCTTCAAGGCCATCAGGCCCTCTGGACTGTAGATCACCTCCCTGTTTGCTGGAGAAACAGCCTGGATTTGAGATGCAGGGATTTTTTTGTTTTGTTCTGAGGGGCCGCTGTTCTGGAGGGGAATCTGGGGTGCAGCTTGGGGCTGCCCCTCCTGCATTCCCCTGTGCTCTCTGTGGTCTGACCACAGGACTGGCTGAACAGAGAGACAGTCTGCGGGACTTAGGGACATCAATCATCTTCACTCGCTCACCCACAGGCGTCTGTGCCCAGCAGGGCTCACGGTGGCAGGGAAGAGGAGACTGAGGCACACACAGCTTCTGCTGGGGAGGGGGGTGGGTCCCCCACACTGGGCAGAGGCCTGGGTGGCGCTGTCAGGAGAAAATGGGTTCCTGTGGCTAAGCGTGTGCAGGCAGGTCTGGATTAAACATCAAACAGAACTCTGCTTACAGGGTGTGGTGTAGTCTGCACTCCAGTCACTCAGGAGGCAGAGGCAGGAGGATCTCGGAGTTTGAGGCTAACCTGGGCTACATATTGAGTTCCAGGCCAACCAGGGCTGCATAGAAAGACCCTGTCTCAATGGGCATGGCAGTGCACGCCTGTAATCCCAGCACTCGGGGAGTCAGAGGCAGGTGGATCTCTGTGAGTTTGAGGCCAGCCTGGTCTACATATCGAGTCCAGGAAAGCCAGGGCTACACAGAGAAACCCTGTGTCAAAAAACAAACAAATAAGACCTTGTCTCAAAATAAATACCTATTTTCTTCAGGATTTGCCGGAGCCTCTAAGCCAATAATGTACACAGTAAGCCTCATCGCTTGGCGCTCTGGCGTAAGGAATATGGAAGCAGGGACGTTGGCAGATCTGAGAAAATGACTGAGGCGAGAATGCCACAGTAAGAAGACTGAACCCCTTCCTTGGGGCCCAGACGGAGGCTCAGAGGGAGGGATTTGAAGTGAGGACCCCTGAGTCAGCCTTGCAACTCTAAGGTCAAGGTGACAGAGGGCTGGCTGCCAGTCAGTCCCCACCAAGGTCTGGTGTGACAACAGGGTTGCTCAAATGGGGAGGGGACAAAGCATGAACTCAACAAGCAGCAACAGTGCCGCAGAGGGTAGGCAGGCAGCCCTGGTAGGCTTAGCCAAACCCTGGTGCCAAGCCCCCACGGGTTCCAATCCCGCCTCCCCTCCTGTGGCATCTGACACCAGATTTCGAGGCTTCGGTTTTTGTTGTTTTCAAATAAGCTTTATTTTTCAGAGTGTTTTATGTTTACAGAAAGTATGGAGACTCCACAGACATTGCCCCTCACCCTCACCCCGGCTACTGCTTTGCATGAACACGGTACACCGGTTACACAGGGTGGCCTAACACTGATGCATTGTGGGTAACTTGCGTTCACCAGTTCACTTTGCTCTAAATGGCAGATTCTAACAAAATGCCTGATGTCATCAGAAGTCCTTCACAGCCCTAAGAGACTCCTGACCTTCTGGGGGAGTGGAGCCGCCCAGGAAAACTCTGGACTAAACCACACAGAGCAGCGCTCTTTTCTGCACGGCCCATGGCAGGCGGCCCAGGGAAGGGGAACTCAGACAGCAGTGAGTTCCAGTTTGGCCGCCTGATATGCTAAATGCCACTGCAATCAGGTCCCTCCCTTACTGGGTCTGCACTTGTGCTAATACAGCTTAGTCACTGTGGGGTCAGGGTGAGGGGTCGTTGGCATGTTCAGACCTGGAAATCTGCATTTTGACAAGTTCCTTTGGTACGTGTGATGCCAGATGTCAGAGACCCCCAGGCAGGGACCCAGACCAGGCTGCCAGGTGCCCTGCGTGTCTGGACTTGTTCTACCAGAGCAGAGGGAGGAATTAAGCCATCTCGGCCTGTCTGGCGATGAGATGCATCTTCCCAGCACAAAGCATTGTGGGACAGAGGTTCACCATCTTAGCCAAGAAAAGCCGGGGTCTGCCTGCTGCCACACTCATCTGCCAGCCCGCCGTCTTCCCAGGTTTTCCATTGCTTATCAGGCACCCAAAACACCTTGGCGGTACCAGCCCACCACCTAAAGCCCTGGGGCTCAGTGGCCTACCATCCCTGGCTCTCTAAGGGACGGAGGACAGAGTGACCAGGAGCGGCCACCTTTGCACCATCTGTAGCAAGCTGACTACTGTCCCCCCACCCCCCTTCATTAATTACATATATATATGTACATAAGTGTGTCTGAGTTCTTAGTGCCAGCCCTCTGGGAAGGAAAGGACCCCACAGCCAGGCAATGGCCCACACTTTGGTTTTAATACAGCCTGCTGTTATCACAGCTCCCCTCCCAGCCCCCCAACAGCAGGTTGGAATTCTGCACCCTCAGGGCCTGATCCCTAGGCCACTAGAAGAGAGTTCTCTCAGCTCAGAAGGCTACGTTCCCGTAATCCCGAGACGTAAGTGGTGATGTGTTGGTCCCGAGGTAGAGTGTGGTCCTGTCACGGCCTCCCGGGCCCCGCCGAGGTCGGGCCGGACGGTCACTGCAGCTTCATGCCGCTTCTTCGGCGAGAGTCCTTCCGGGCTATGGGGCTGAAGTTCTGGATCTCCTTGTAGATGTGTTCTGTGGAAGGCGTGTGCTTTAGGGCGGGGGGTGTGGGGGGGCCCACCCTGACAGTAGAGCCCCCACAGGAGACGGGCTGTGCCCGGGCACAGCTGTGCCACCTCAGGCTGCAAAGGAGGGCAGCTGGGGGAGGATGGGAGCATCTCTTACGTTTCCACTCGTCCACAGTGAGCTTCTCATGTTCTAAGGAATCATCAAGCGGCTGCTGGGCCTCCGTCTCCTCCTCGGGGTCCCGGAAGGGCTCAAAGAAGGGGTGAGCGAGCGCCTGGGCAGCGGTCAGGCGCTTGTCCACGTCCAGCTCCAGCATCCTGTCCAGCAGGTCTGCAGCTGCGGGGACATGACTGTGAACCCTGCTCCTGGCCTGCGACCAGGTGGCTCTGCAGGCACTCTGGCGTTTGAGGCGGGGGGGGGGGGGGCAGGACTCACCTTGGGGGCTGGCACGTGGGAAGAGCTGGGTGAAATCCTTCTTGGGGCTCTGGGGCAGAGACTGGATGTAGGATTTGGCCTAGGAGACAGAAGAGCGTACAATTCTTCAGGCTCTGGCCTGAGGGGGAGACATCATGACTGAAAGCCTGTCGGATGAGGACAGGATGAGGACGAGAGGGTCCGCCAGGGCAGAGGGACCCCCACGGAAAGGCGCCAGGCAGGACCACTCACCGCCTTGTCTTTCAGCTTCTGCACAAACTCAGCACCCGGCACCCCGGTCACCTTCAGAATCTGGGTCAGCTGGTCCAGGTCTTGGCAGCCAGTTAAGGCACAGCCTTGCTCTCCGAGGTGCTCTGGACCTGCCTGTCCCATCCCTAGTCTTGCTCTATCTAGCCAGCCTGGCAGATTCTCCTGGCTACAGCCCCACCTGACCATCGCCAGCTCTTGGGACAGTTGGAGCAGGTCCCTGGAGGATTTCCTGACAGCCCAGATGAGGAGAAGGCAGCTGAGGGCGGGCCTTTCCGAGACAACCCCCCAACTTACCCTCCCCTGCCCCCTCTTCATGGGCCACCCCATCTCTCCACCTGTCTGGCCCATGAAGGCTTCTATCTGCTTATGACTGATTTCCTAACGGAGGTGGGGATGGGGCAGAGGGACTCGTTTTTTTATTTGTTTTGTTTTAATCATTTGATTATCTGCATTTTTCAAACCATTCTAGGGGGCTGGAGAGCACTTGGCTGCTTTTCCAGAGGACCGGAGTTCAGCTCCCAGCACCCATGTTTGGTGCCTTTTATAAACCTGCTAACTCCAGCTCCGGGGATTCTGACCTCCCAGGGTACCTGCACACACATACACATAAATAAAAATAAACCTTTGAAAACAAGGGTTGCTTAGCAAGCATGGAATCCTGGGTTCTGGCCCCAGCACGGTGACACCACGCGCCTGTGACCCTGGCACTTGGGAGGTGGCGGGAAGGGAAAGCAGCAGTTCAAGGTCAGCTTTGGCTCCATACCCTGAAGTGTCGAGTGTGGTGGCGCTGCACCCCTTAAATCCCAGCACTCTGGAGGCAGAGACCAGCTCCAGCTACATAGCACGTTCTAGGCCAGCCAGGGCTATTGTCTGAAGGGCAAAACAAAATAAGACAAACAATTCTTCAGGGGTCCCGTTTGGCTGCTGAGGGAACCGGTGCCCGGACAGATCTGCTTCCAGCAAAGGATACAGTCCTTCCCCTTGAACAGAGTCTTTCCGGTCAGCATCTCCGCCATGATGCAGCCAACGGACCAGATGTCCACTGCCAGGAGGGGGGGGTGTTATCTGGACGCTTGCCGGTCTGTGGGGACGTCGGCGGGGCCTCCCTGGGAAGCCGCCCACTCACCTGTCTGGTTGTAATGCATCCAGCTGAGAATCACCTCGGGGGCCCTGTACCAGCGGGTCACCACGTAGCCAGTCATCTCGGGGTCCGCATGCCGCGCCAGCCCGAAGTCCAGGATCTACGGCTCAAGGGACACAGGGAGAACCAGCTGGCTGGGGAGAGGGGCTCCGAGGGACCCAGAATTCCACCCACCTCCCCGTCCCATCCGTGGCGGAGCTGCTGTGACCCCACTCACCTTCAGCTCACAGTCTTCGTTCACCGCCAGGTTGCCAGGCTTCAGGTCCTGGGAGGGAGGACAGAGAGGGAGGATCACGCTGAAGCAGGGCCAGCAGGTCCTCTCGGATCAAAGGCAGGCGCGGGCGGGCACACACGCACACACCCAAAACCCATTTCCCATGATACACTGCAACAGCTGGTGCACCGCTCAACTTCCCCTCCAGGCCTCAGTTTCCTCAGGTGTAAGATGACACTGGACTCCTACATTCTTTTCCACCAGTTAGAGCCTGAAGTGCCAGTTGGGGGGGGCAACACAGCCATTCTGCGGTGCTCACCTCAAGGCCGAACAGTCCCCGGCCCATGCTCCCTAGAACCGTGGCTCTCCCTGCTGCTCCCAATTCCTTGGCCAACAGAGCACCTCGTTCCTACTCCCCCACCACAGCCCGGAACCCTGGCAGAGACTGCACTCACCCTGTGGACAACACCGGCAGAGTGGATGTACTGAAGGGGGGAGAGAGAGAAAGAGGAGAGAACGGTGGTGAAGGCAAGGCAGCAGCTTCCACACCCTCGCCACGCCCCCTCCCCGCCTCCCTCCCTCACCTACCTTTAGACCTTTAAGCATCTGGTATACCAGGCACTGGACCTTGTCCTCACTGAACTCCATCCCCATGAGCTTCTGCAGGTCTGTCTGCATGAAGGGCATCACCAGGTAGCTGGAAGACAGGAGGCCTTTTAGCTCCCAGACTCCTGAGAAGCTCAAGTGTGACCTGGGGGGGGGGGCAGAAGGAGGGCACGACAGGCGCCTCGGAGGCGACACCGGGCAGGAAGTGTGGGGTGTGAGAGTTTATGCCTGTCATCCCAACACCTGGAGGGCTACAACGGACTCTGAATGTAAGGTCCAGCCTGGGTAACACAGTGAGTAGCAGAGCGGGCTTGTCTACACAACACCACCTTGTCTTGAAAAAAACAAGCAAGAACAACAACAGAAACCAGGGCTGGAGAGGTGGCTCGGCCGAAGAAAAGAACACTTACTGTTCTTTCAGAGGACCTGGGTTCAGATCATGGCCTCCTTATCAGGACGCTCACAACCACCCGTAACTCCAGTTCTGGGAGCTGATGCCCTTTTCTGGCCCCTGTGGGGGACTGGACTGCATGTGTGTGGTGCACATAAACTCAGGCAGGGTGCGCGCCCACGCACGCGCGCACACACACACACACACACACACACACACACACCCCTACCAACAATCATAAGAAAAACAAACGAGGCAGATAGGACCCAAGGAACAACATCCGAGGCTGACCTCTGACCTCAGATCCACACACATCAACGCACATGTACCTTTACACACCCCTGCAGTCCATACACAGGCACACATAACCCCAAACAAGGAAGAAGATTCGTGAAGAAGCAGCAGCGCCCAGCCTGGGCTCCTGGCATCGCTGCCACACAAACCTGGCTGGCAGAGCTCAGGGTGGATGCTGGCATTGGCGCATGCTCAGCAAAGCCACTTGTCTGTGCTCCCACAAAGGTACCCGGGCTCTGCCCTCTTCCACGCCTACAGCAGAGCAGCTGGGGCGGGGGTGGGGTGGGGTGGGGTGACGCCCAGCGGGCTCTGGCTCCGCTTACTGCAAGGTGCCTGCCTTCCCAGTAAAGAAGCAGGAAGCAATCCTCAGAGAGTGCAGGAAGAGGGGGCCTGTCCTATTAGGCACTCGAGTGGGGCTTGGTGGCAGGTCAAGGTCAGGACTGTGACTCAGGGGGGTAAGAGCCAAGTTCAGAACACAAGGTGTGTGCAGAGCACATGTGCGCGCACACAAACACACACAACTTTTTTGTTTTGAGACAGGGTCTCATTAGGTGGGCCTGCCCGGGCTGGAACTCACAGGGCTGCCCCTGCCTCCTGACAGCTGGGATTGCAGGCTTACAGCAGGCGCTGTGTGCGTTGCTTCTTTAGGCTCTTGCTCGGGACTGTAGGGGCCACTCAGCGGTCGGGAGCACTTGTTGCTCTTCAAAAGAACCCAGGTTCAATTCCCAGCACCCACATCAGGCAACCCATGGCGTCTGTGACAGGGGCTCTTGCCGAGTGTCCTCCCTGAGTGCCAGTGTGCTCCCTCACGCACCTGGCACCCCTCCTCTCTCTCTGGTTTTCATCTGCTCACCCTCCATAACTTCCGGCAAGCCTGGACTGTGGACCAACATCATCATTTGACCTGCCCCAGGCCTCAGCCATCACCTCCGGAGGTGAGTCTAGCCTGATCGACAGCCATGGTCTCCCCTCTTTCGGTTTCACATGCTCCGAAGGTGGAGTTCATTATCTTTTCCTCGAGGTCTGTTCTTCCTCCGTGGCTTCCAGGTAGGGACTGGGTCGCCTGTGCCAACCTCCCCCAGCCACCATGTCCAAACAGATGCCCCGGCTCTTGCCGGCACAGTCCGAGTGGTCTGCCATCAGACTTCCACTCCGTAACGGAGACTGACTGCATCACTGTAGCGTAGTTGGGGTCCTCAACACTGGCTTCTCCCAGGAGCTCCCTGCTCCTTTCTCATAGCTGTTGCCTGGGCCCCCCAAATCTGACGTGCGGGATCAACACCTCCAGGACTGGGGGGCTGGGGTGTGCGTGTGACAGCTGGCGGCATGCTTGCCCAGTGAGCACACAACCCTGAAGTCAGTGACCAGCACCAACTCTTGAAATCAGGATCAGAAGTTCAGGGTCATCCCTGGCTACATAGGTAGTTGAGGGCCAGCCTGTGATACAACAGAGATCCCGTCTAAATGCAGCACAAGACACCAAAGCTCTCCCACAACCTCCGTGGCACCGAGGTAGGATGAGAAGCTTGACAGAAGCCACTTCTGGCTGCCGCTCACACCCTGAATTCTCACCATCACCCAGTCTCCCTCACCCAGGCCCCGGCCAGAAAACCTGACACTCTGTAACTAAACTTTCTGCTTGTTTGTAACAGCCAAACTGCCTTAGTCAGATTGTCCAGAGCAGCTTGATCCTCACTTCCTGCTAGGAAAACCCCCTTAGGTATCACCAGGTTCAGGGTCACACCTGGGGCCAGGGATTGGGGCGCAGAGGCAGCACACACCCTGTGAGAGCCAGCGGTCTTAACACGTTCAGGAGCTGGGGGGAGGGGGCAGGTTCCCCGCAGTCCTTCCACCCAAAGCTGAGGCACTACTCCAGAGAGCACGGTCTGTGAGAACCGCTAGAGGGACCCCCTTTCCCCCAAATGCTGGAAGCTACCCTCCCCCAAAGTAGTCCCAAGCTGCAGTGAAGATCTGCCAATGCCCCAAACCCAGCCCAACTCACAAATCATGGAAGTTCCGCAGGGAAGAGGCCGGGGTGAAGACGTCCAGGAGCCCGATGACCTGGGGGAAGGGGTCACCATGGAGGCTGGGCTGCCACCACCACCCAGGTCCCCCTCCAAGACAGAAGGTGGCCCCAATGGCAAGAACAATGACAGAGAGTCAGGCTGAGAACAAGGTAAGCCCACGGCTCCCAAATTTGGGGTGCGGGGTGAATGGCCCCACTCCCAGCTAACACATCTTGAGAGAAAAGGAGTGGAGGATGAAAGGCCTTCCTGCCTCCAGGACCTCGGGGACCCTGGACCTCCAGTCCAGCCTTGAGCCTATCAGACAGCCCCGTGCCCAGCTACGTCTGTCAGTCTGCCCTCGCCGGCTGGTTCAGAGCAGAGCCAAGCCCCTCCAGCTCACAGCTGCAGGCCACTGAAGAGACCTTGGCCGTACAAGGTCTCACATCAGATTCTGAAATGGATCCCAGCCCTCCCAGCTGGTCCAGAGCCAGGTCATTGGCTGTTTCCATCAGACAGGGCAGTCAAATGGTCAGGCCCTAGGCTGCCTTTACTTCCACACCTCAGCTCTGCCACTGATGAACTGCACAAGTCGGGGGAAAACAAAACAAAACAAAACCTTTCCGTGCCTCAGTTTCCTCATCTGTGCCACGGCTGGCATGTGTTACCGAGAGGATTATGTAAGTCAGCCGTCCCCGGCCTACATTGATTACTCAGGAAGTATTTGCTGTCAGTCTTGGGGCCCCGGAAGGGAGACAGCATTAACTCAAGTGCCCAGGCGCAGCAGAACGGGGGTTCTCCCAGTGGCAATCCCAAAGCTCCTCTGCGCCTGCTCCCTCCTCCCAGTCGAGATAAGGCTATGTTTTTTTCTGGGAAATGAACCGGGCAGGCCCTGGCACCGAGGAGCTGGGCAGAGGGTGGGGCAAGGGAGAGTCCCCTGGCCCCGCACCCCAGCAGGCCGCTTCCTGGGGGCCTTTCCCCCTGCCCTCGGATCCCCAACACGTCCACGCCCCTGCCGCAGCCTACGTTCTCATGGTGCATGTGCTTCAGCAGCAGGAGCTCGCGGTAGGCTCGCTTGGCGAAGATCTCCGACTGGAAGGGCCGGCTCAGCTTCTTGATGGCCACCTTCTCCCCCGTCCGCTTGTCAGTGGCCGAGCTGCGGGGTCACGGGCAGGTGAGGGGGAGGGGCGGCGCAAGAGCCCCAACTCCTGCCCCTCCCCGCCCCTCCTGCCCGGTCCTAGGCCACCCCGCTCCGTGCGTATTCGCCATGCTGGCTGGAGACCTGGAATTTGGGGGCCAGCAGAGTGCGTGCGTGTCGTGGGGAGATGGGGGGAGACACCCGGAAAGGGGCAGAGCAGGCCGGGAGTCCCTGCTCTGCCATTTGGCAAGTTCCCCTCTTTGGAACCTCCTCCGCGACCGCAGGGAGTCGTCCCTCCCGCGAACTCCGAGGTCCCTTAAAAGTTACAGCCTCGGAGAGCCAGACTGGGCGGCGACTCAACCCACCGGGGGCCCCACTGCCCCGGCTGAGCTCGGGGAGGCTGCCAGGGGGGGGGCCCGCGCGACTCCCGAGTCCCCCGGGTCTCACCACACCGCGCCATAGGCCCCGCTGCCGACGTGCGCGGGCGCCAGGTAGGTCTTGGGGAGCTCCCAGGCCGTCTTGTTGATGTCCTGCTTGTAGAAGCCCCTCTTCCGGGTGAGGCTCATCCCGCACCCCGTGGTGGCGGCGGCTGCGGTGGCTGCCCGCGGGCTCCGGGCCGGGGTGTCCCGCCGAGGTCCCCGCCCGCCCCTCGCCCGCTCCGCCCCCCCGGGGGACGGCGCACCTGCCGCCTCGCCCAGGTGCGTCCCCGGCCCGGCCCGACCCGCCCACCCGCCGCCCGCGCTCCGGGCTCCGCCCATCCCGGGCCGAGGCCGCGGGCCCCGCCGGCCACCTGCTGCAGGTGCGGGGTGGCCAGCGGGAAGGGGTGTCCCGTGAGGCCGCCTGGACCCTTCCAGCCCTGCAGGAAGAGCCAGCGGGGCGGGGGCTGGCGGGGAGGACGGCGGCGGGGGCTGGTGGTGGTGGTGCGGAGTTGATGGTTGGAGAAGTAAGACCTCACAGATGCGAGGCCTGGTCTGTACTCCATACACAGGGGACGTAGAGGCAGGAGAATTGCTATGAGTCCAGTTCAGGACATAGTAAATTCAAGGGCGAGACCCTGAGAAAGAAGGAAGAGAGGGAGGGAGAGAAGGAGTGGGGAGAGAATAGAGACAGAATGAGGAACTAGGAAGGGAGGAAGGGAGGGAGGAAGAGGAAACAGCGTCACCCTTGGCTACAAAACAAGTTAGAGGCCAGCATGGGTTACACAGCACGACCCTGACTCAAAACTACTTTAAAGATGCAGAGATTGTTCAGCAGCGAACAGCCTGTACTGCTCGCTCCTGAAGAGGCCCTGAGTTCGGCTCCCAGTACCTAGGCCATCATATACATAGTTAAAAAATAAAAAGGGGGGGGGGCATGGTGGCACGAATCTTTAATTCCAGCATTCAGGAGGCGGAGACAGGTGGATCTCTAAATTTGAGGCCAGCCTGGTTCTACAGAGTGAGTTCCAGGACAGCCAAGGCTACACAGAGAAACCCTGCCTCAACCCCCCCCCTTGGGGTCCCCTCCCCCCAAGGAGAACAAAACCAAAAACCCGCCACCGAAACGTGAAGGTTGTGGCAATTCATGGGGTTCTAAATGAGCTCCCGTGGCACCCCTCCCACTTCTTTTCTTTCTAAAAAAAATCATGACTCCCAGATCCTAAGGTTCATTCTCCCTGTTTTAAAATCTGAAACAAAATCCAGACGTCAAATTATTCTTCCCATGAAAGGTTCCGTGTCTTACACACAGAGTCAAGAGCAGCTAATTCTACAGTCCCCGGTGACCACAAGATTTAAATCCCCAGGGGAGTCTGTTTTTGATGGTTTGTGAGGCAAACCATCTCACTTCGAGCCTTAACTGGCCTGGAACTTGCTAGGTAGACCAGGCTGGTCTCTAACTCATAGATATTCCCCTGCCTCTGGCTCCAAAGTAAATTTCCAGTTCTGGGTAGAGGCTTTTGTTTGATTTTGCTAAGGCCACAGAATGGCCCTCTTTTGTGTGCTCCCGGCGAGACTTGGTTCTCCGACTCAATCCTGGCGTTCTGGGGCTTGTGCATGCCTGGGTGTGTCCACACCCGGTCCCTGGCTTCCCTGCGGAAGGAGTGGAGTCAGCCTGCTTTTGTCGGAGGAGGGAGGCTTACAGGAGAGCCAGCAGCCGGACGGGTGACCCCATCAAGCTGTCCGAGGACCCCAAACTTTGCCCAGCTGATTCTCCCACGCAGGCTGCACTCCGTTTGTGGGGAACGGCCCCACAGACATGCTTAACACGTGCTGTGGCTGGGCGCATCTGTCTTATTCATCTCAAGGACGTATGAAAGAATGCGTAAAAGTGAGAGATAAACATGCGGGCTTGCCATGCGCCTGCCTTTGGCATGCCTTACGTATTCCACTCCAGGGCAGAGAAGGCTGGTGAATCAGGCTGAGCATCCTCACCAGAGAGGTGACACACGGGCACAGAGGAGGTAAGTAATTAGCCAAAGGTCACAAGGCTGGAGAAGGGCAGAGCTGGGTGAGTGGCTGGCATGGTGGAGCCGGGAGCCCAGGCGCTTGGCAGCAAGGCTCAGTGGTGTCTCCAAAGCGCCCGGGATGGTTGTAAGGATGTGGCTCCCTCAGCTCAGCCCACTCCCACCCCGTCTGTTTTGCTGGTCCTGACAGCCCAACGAAGACAAAGGAAGTGCCCACAGTAGGAGTTTGGGACCCTTTGGGTTGGTGTTTCTGTGGTTTAGGCAACCCTGTTTCTAGAAGCCAGATTCCAGGGCCCCCGACTTGTGGTATCCTTCTGGGTTGAGAGAAGAAAAGGGGCTCGGGTCTCTGCCGTGGGTAGAGCTGAGCCCAGAAAGGTAACCCAGGAGCGCCACCCCCTAGCACAGGTGGCCACTCTGGACTCCTCTTGAGCAAGGGTCAGGAAGTGACTCAAGCCTTAGACTCAGCTGACAATGACCCTCACCTTGAGCCTTGCTGGGCTTGGGTTTACTCAGCAGCCTGGCAGCCTTGGAGGGAACTGCCTTCAATCCAGTGAAGGGAGTCACTAGGGGAAGGAGGGGGAGGAGGAGGGAGGGGAGGAGGCCTAGAAAAGAGGAGGAAGAGTAGAGCAGGAGGGAGAGAAGGAGGATCAAGAGGAGAGAGGGGTGGGAGGGGAGGAAGACTAAAAAGAGAGGAAGAGGGAGGGGGAGGAGGAGAAAAGGAAGGAGAAAAAGGAAAGGAGGAGGACCAGGAAGAGAAGAGGATGGTTGGAAGAGGAAGAGGTAGGGGAGAGGAGGAGGGAAGGAAGGAGGATTAGGAGGAGGGGGGGAGAGAAGGGTCACCAAGTTTATCATGGTTAGCTGGACTCTTCGCCCCAGCTCCAAGGACCTCAGCCCCCCTCAGGCACTGACTCTCTGTAGTACTGTGGAGGCAGAGAGTCGGGAATCAACTTTGGGAGGACATCTGAATTCCCAGCCCTGGTGCTGCCCTCTGTGTGACTCCAGAACAAAGTCCTCGCACACTTTTAGCCTGAGTGTCCTTGTAAAACAGAGGTGACACATACAAGCAGGCAGAAGTTCCTTTCTTGTGAGGTCGTTCAGACAAATGCACCTTTCCCTCCCACATTTGAAAAGATTTTAAAGCTGGCAATCCCAGCTCTTAGGGACACAGAGGCAAGCAGCTCTCTGTGAGTTCGAGGCCAGCCTGGTCTACAGAGTGAGTCCAGGACAGCCCAGGCTACACAGAGAGACCCTATCTCAAAAAGAAAAAAAAAAGAAAAAAGAAAAGAAAGAAGAAAAAAAATATTAAATATACATTAAACATTTTTAAGAGGTTTATTTCTTTTTATTTGATGTGTGTGAGAGTTTTGCCTGGTGCCCACGGAGGCCGGAAGAGACCTTTGGATCCCCAGAGCTGGAATTACAGGTAGTGATGAGCCACCATGAGCAGGCCAGGAACCAAACTCAGGTCCTCTGCGAGGGCAGCTGGTGCTCTCAAGCGCCAGGACATCCCTCTTGCTCCCTTTTGAAAAATTATGTGTATGTGGGTATGTGCTGAGTGTGAGTACCCTGGAGGCCAGAAGGGGACCTCTGACCCCGGATCTGGAGTGACAGACACCAAGAGCGGCCTAAGGTGGATGCCAAGGCCCTGGCTCCCGTCCAGGTCCCCTCCAAGTGCTGGGCCGTCCCTCAGCCCCACTCTGAATTTCTGTATTCATTATTGTAGGGTGTGCACGTGTGAGCAGAGGACAAGTCATGGGGCCTCGTCGTCTCCCTCCGCCCTGCTGAGGAGGGCTCTCTCTTGCTTCTGTTGCTCTTGTACTCCAGGCTGGCTGCCGCACAGGCTTCTGGGTGATCTCACTGTGTTAAGATTATTGATACGAGTCACTGCACCTGGCAGCTTTTAAGAGACATTTATTTATGTATGTGTGCGTGTGTGCGTGTGTGTGTGTGTGAATGCCACACGTGCGTAGGGGGGGCCTTGGGGGTGAGAAGAGGACCCTGACTCCTCCCCGGGGGAGTTGGAGCCACAGGTGAGTGTGGGCTGTGAAAGCGCTGATGACCCAGGCCCTCTGTAGGAACAGCCAGCACCCTTGACCTGGCACCTCCCTGCCCCTCTCCCCCCCAGCCTGGAAGAGCTCAGGTCCTGCGCAGCAGGTGGTCTCCTGGCCTCCATGTTTCTTCCCACTTTGAAACAGCCAGTGTTTGATTTTACTTGGGCTCTTTATGTTAGCGTAAAGAGTGGTGGGTTTCCTGACATCATTTCAAGCATAGTAAGTTCTTGTTGAGTCTTCTCTTCATCCCCACCTTCCCGCTCTGTCTTGTAGTCCCCACTTCCCTCTCCTACCCTTCTGCTCTCCATCAGGGCGTTCTGCTCTCTGTTTCCCTAAGATCTCTCCTTCCGCTCTCCCACGAGCCCCTTTCCTGAAGTTCCACAACCCCCCCCCAACAGACACATACACATTATATACAACTTTGAATGTGGGCCCTCAGTTAGAGAAATGTATGGTGTTTGTATTTCTGGGTCTGCCTCCTTCTGTTAGCGCAACAACCTCCAGCTCTGTCTGTCGTCCCTCGAATGTCATGACTCCGGTCCCCTTTGTGGCTGCATGAAATTCCGCCGTGCGTATGCAGCTCGTTTTCTGTACCGTTCATCCGTGGCTGGACCGTAGGATGGGTCCGTTTCCTGGCTGCTGTGGATAGAGTGGGAGCGAACACGGATGCTCAGGTGTCTCCGAGGTGTGCGGTCCTCAGGGGACGCAGATGTCTTATTTTTAACTTTATTTGTTTGTTTATTTTTAAGACAGGGCGGGGGGGGGGGGGTCTTGCCATGTAGTCCTTGCTAGCCCAGGATTCTCCAAGTAGACAGCTTGTTACAGCACAAGGTGAGTGTTGTCCAGTTGCCCGGCTGAGGGTCAGGGGTGTGGGGGGAGGCCTGCCACCTCCAGCGCCAATCAAGAGCATCATCTACCCGCCCCGCCCCCACCTCACCTGGACACACTGGGTTCTCACGCCAAGCCAATCCGGTAGGACGTTCGCTGCTCTGGACAGGCTGAACTGGTCCCTCCTTGGGGAGACAGAGCATATACCTTCTGAGGGCAGGCGGTTAAGGTTTGGACCAGGTTAGGTGATTACAGGTTGGCAGAAGCCAGCTCTCTCCCTAGAGACTAAAATCGACAGAGACGCTGTGAGAGGTGCTGAGCTTGG